CCTCCACTCCACACAGGCTTCAAATCTAAAAACCAAGCAATGAGACTAATTCTCTTCCACTTTACACTGGTGTAAATCCACAAAGTTAATGGAGTTACAACCATGTAAAACCAGTGAGAGTAGATTATGCAAATGAAGTGCTGATTAGCATTTTGTTGTGCTTCATTTGCATAATCTATTCCGAGCTGGTTTTGCACAAGAACAAGCAGGGTAGCCATTTCCTTTTTGTGCAAAAACCTCTTGTGCAAAAACAGCTTGGAATAGATTATGCAAATTAAGTGCGACAAAATGCTAATCAGTGCTTCATTTGCATATCTTGGCCTGCAAAAGCTGGCAGTGTAGACATAGCCTGAGGATTTGTCTACACCATAGAGTGTATGTCAGTATAGTGATGCCTGCATAGCTCCTAGTTTAGACACAGCTCACACCAACAGGACTGGTGTGTGTGTGTGTGTGTGTGTGTGTTGGAACACCACAATTCTGTATAGCATTAGCTATGTTGACAGAAGCATTGTTCTGACAAAATAACTGCTCCATTGCTGGGGATTTTGTCAGCATAGATATATCGCTGGGGAGAAGGTGGATGTTTCACACTCCTTACTGAAAAAATGTTGTTGTAAGTGTGAGTAAATCTAGACTAATCCCACTAAAAACTGGAGTTTAGTGAAGTGACCTATGTCACTTCAGGGGTTTTTTTTAATCAGTGAACTGATTGTGGCCTGCTGCTTATACTAAAAAAAAAAAGTAATTACATAATTCCCACTTCCTCCTTATTTTTTCATTGTGATTTTGAATTTTCTGTAAATAGAAAAATAGGAGAAGGGATTCCCAAATATTTGTTGAATTTTTTCCTCTCCTCTGCACCTTTTTTCAGTGGTGTTTTAAAATATTTTACTCTAATCTTGAGTTAATTCATTTAACTATAATCTTTCCAGTAGTGTTTGGTCATTAAATTGTAAGCCACTTTAAGGATTGGATAAACCCAGGTTCACAACAGTATGAGGGCATCTGTCACTCCTTAGGTCAACATCAGTCACAAGTTGAGAACTTGGGCACAAGCCAACATCATTTTTATCTTTATGTGGCCCATAGTTTAATGACACTGTGGTATTAGAGAACACCAGTTATTACTGTGGCAGGAGTTAAAATGTGGTGCAAGGAACCTTTCTTAAGACTGTTCTATGTATGTAATATATCACAGTGAGCTTGGGGAAATGTCTCCATAACAGGCAGAATGCGATGGGACATTTTTCATCTTGTGACTCCTTTTTTACTCCCTGTCAATATATTGTCTATGCCTAGATAGAATCCATCTGCTGGCATTTCAACAGGTCATTTTGAAGCCCTTATATAAGCTTGTTCTTCCCTTGTGTAATGAAAATATGAGATGGAATACCTTGAACTATGAAGATTTTCTGGTCCTTCTCTTTATGGCCGAATGTGGGGAGTTACATGTAAGATTGACGTGACCTTTTTGGAGGATGTCATGGCAATTAGATGAATTGATTTCAAATGTCACATTGTCCACATGCTGTATGAATCACTCCATGCAATTTCAAAACCTGCCATCAAACAGTACATCTTGTACAGAACTTGGTACCATGTATCAATTAAACTCAATTATTATAGATTCTGTGATCAGCCACAAATTAGTAGCAATTGCTTACATAATACTCAAGACGTAACATGATGGATAATGGAAAAAAAGGTTACATACATATATGCACTTATGAGCAATATCACAGCTAGTGATAACGTTATGCTTATGATAATGTTATGCACTGAGTACTGTTGGCTGCATAGATCACAAAGCTGGTTGGGTTGATGGGTGCATTGAGCACCTTCTGTTCAGGCTAAATGTGAGAACCATTCAATACCATGATATACCAATAACTGAAATAATGGAAACCAATGCTATGGGTCTTGTACCACCATAGCAATCCCAGGGTGTGGTCTGGCTATGCTGATTAAAGCTGAAAACAAACACAGGGACAGGACAGTGATAGGTAGGGGTGTGCACATGTGCATTCACCAGAAAGAAAAAAAAACTCATAAGTGTGACCGTGAAGAACAGATAAAAGAGTTTCTAAGTTAAGAGCTGGCTGAAAACGACTTAGAATTGCAATCAGAGAACTAACTCCTATTGTTTTCTTCTTGTGTCTGGATTGCATCAAAGAAATAACTGGCTATAAACAGTTTCTCTTGATTAAAAACAACCCACAGTGTCACAAATGTGAGAAGTGACTTGGGTCAGAAAGGGGTAACAATTATTAGCTTCCTTGGATTTTTAATAGCTCCCTTTTCACAGAATGTAAGAAAATTTTGCCTTCCAAATGAGAAGACAGATTGTGCCTCAGCAAGAGAATCAATTGGAAGCTTACCTAAATTTCGATTTCATATGCTTGCCTGACAGGTTGGCTCAAGCACTGGAATTGTGACAGGGTGTACCTGGCAGGACTTGAGTAGTGAGGAAGCTATTGGTTGTTCTGTAGTATTCCCTCTGTTGTCCCTTGTGCTGTGGGTGAGATTCATGGGATCACCATTTTACTGCTTATTATGGACCCCTACTCTACTTATTAACTGGAGATTTTAAAAATTGCGTATCTCTCTTTCCAGATAAGACTGGTATAAATGTTCATGAACCATGGTAGGCATGAGAACTTTCCTTCCATTTTGTCTTGTACTGTAGAGTAATATCTTCCCTTAGGCCAGTGTAATATCTTCCCTTACACAGTTCTTACTTAAGTAATCAACATCATGTTACAATTGTTTGAAACAGATAATCCACTGTCAGGGAAAAAAAGAGCCACAAGATGAAAAATTGCCCACCTGCATTCTGCCTGTTATGGAGACATTTCCCAAAGCTCACTAGCTAGTGTCACACAAGAAGGAAATGTAAGAAGAAACTGAAACTCAGAAAAACTTCTCATAGTCACAATATGCCACATCTACTGGCAGACATGTTGGGATGGGCACATAATTTGCCCCCTTCTCTCTCCTAATTCCTCCCCAGCTACCTACTCACAGTGGAGCAGGAGGTATGAGGCACTCAGCCCGTTTTTCCCTCTGCACCCAAGCTTAAGATGCAAGTTGCTTCCCTATGCAACTACACAACCACAATCTCAATCTCGCTCTCAATATGTGTATGCAAAATCCTCCATAATCCTTCAGTTCCTCAACTCCTACATTAAGGGCCAGTTTTTCAGCTGGTGTAAATCACCACAGTTCCAGTGACTTTGGTGGGATTATACTGATTTACATCAGCAGAGGATGTGGCACAGACACTTTTTGACATTTAAGAAGTGTTTATAGCAGGCAATTGCTCTGTACTGGAGTTCACGCTAAGGACTCATGTGCAAAACTGGCACTTTGTAGTGTTTCCCTGTGGCTATTAAGAGCCACGATTATTTCATTCTTTTACTTTTGCCTAATGACACACTGAACTGACACAACTGCACCTTGAACCGGTTTTAACTTGCCTTGAACATAAGCAGGAGTCAGCGCCTGCCCTGCAACAGTCTCAGATTGGTTTGTTTGAAGAGCAGTTACGTTTTAACAAATGAATTTGTTTGTTGCATTGTGGCTTCTCTGTGCTCATTCCAGGATCACAGCTGGCTCACCTTACTTGTGGATGTAATACTGTTGCCTTTGGGGATGCGTACATGAGACTGGATCTTTGTTACTGTTTGCAGCTGGCTGGTTTGAAGTTGGGGTGGTTGCTTCTCCTGACCTTTATACACAATTCTTGTGGGTTTCCATTGACTTCAGTGAATTCTGGTCATTGGATCAGGTCCTAAGCTATTGGATCAACTGGTCTGTATTTAATAATCATAGCCAGATCCATAAGCTGGCGTGCATGTCTGTCACAAGGTCTGCTTTAGAGCTGTCCTTACAAATCATGGTGCCCTATGCAGTCTGAGCATCCTGGGAGGAATGGGGCTGTTCTTTGGGGTTGTGGGGACCAGGGCCAGGGCTGCAGATGGGCAAGGAGGCTGGTGGAGGAGTATACAGGAGGTGCAGATACCAGTCTGTGACTTGAGCTGCCAGCCAGAAGTAGAGCAGGGGGTTGCCATGCAGCTGGTCAGAAACAAGTGGCAATTTCCTGTTCTGCCAGAAGGGGAAACAGCTGGTAAGTGGTAACTAGGGGCAGCCCACGGGGGCTGGCTGCCAGAACAGCACTGCCAAATATGCAGCACACAGCTGCATATTCTGCATATGCCTAAGGACAGCCCTGGTCTACTTATCTGTTCAAAGAAAGCAAGATCAGACTGCTAAAATGATGTAGGGTCCACGTGCAGCCATTCCAAAGCAAAGCTTACATACCTGAGAAAGGGGGAAGCAAAGAGAACTCTATAGCTACTTTTCTACTGCTTCTAATCCTAGTTCGAACTAGGAGGGTAGTATAGGCATACCCTCAGGGAGTGGCTGAGGGCCAAGCCCCTTGCACAAGTTATAGTAGCCATCTGAATGCTGCTCTCACTTGCATTGCCTTATAGTTTGTTGGGAGCCATTATGCCAGAGAGGATCATCAAAACACAGTCTTGCTCTCACTCCTCTCCAGTATGCCCCCTGAGTGGTGGAGGATTGAGGAGGAGTGTGCACTACGATAATCATTCAAGCAGATTATATGCCTGACTTCCCCTTCACATGACCATTTCATTGATTTCCATTACAATTCCTTTGTTCTTTGTCTAAAAGTCTCAGAACGATGATGATGAGTAGTCTTGTAGCACTTTAAAGACAAAAAATATACATGGTATCATGGGCTTTCATGGGCAAAACCAACTTCCTCAGAGGAGCAGAGAGTTCTTTGTGTAATAAAAACTCTGTTTTGGGGATCTTCTTTTCATACCTTTAAAAAAAATGTGCTTAGCCAATTTGTGCTTTTATGTACATCATAGTAGTTAATACAGAGAGCAAAAAAAGAAGGATATGAGGTAGGTGGGTTATTAGGACTAGAGGGCAAAGAAAATGATCAAAACTGTTTGTTTTTGTCATAGGTGTACCAAAATTCCCAAAAGAAAACATTGAACCAATGGAGGTAGAGTATGGTGATTCTATGGTTTTGCACTGTAATCCTCCCAGAGGAATTCCACCTTTGCATATCTATTGGATGAATATTGGTAAGTTACAGTAAACAACACATAGCAGACTTTTCACTCACAAGATTAGAAATAATCTTCCTCTATTGTCTGGTTATTGCATCATTGTCTGTTTTGGGGATTCTGTCACATTCTTTACATATTTAGGGTATCATCTTGCCCAAGGAGACGTAAATGACAAACACCAATGGACTTTGATAGTGTTTAGGTCCTAGGGTGAAATCAGAGTCTCATCAGACACAGGATTCCAGACTAGATATACAATTGCTCTTATCTGTATTTGGCTGGATTGACAATGAGATGACACAATCTCAATCTGGTCTAGGAATTGCATGCTGTGTAGTTACAGGGAAGATGAGTTTGCATGCAAGGTGTAGTTACAGGGAAGATGAGTTTCGGTTCTGTACAATGGAAACCTAGAAATCAGGCATTCATGGCAGCGGTGTCAGCCTTTGTAGCACTATCACTTTGGGGGATTTTCACTGCATCATCCCTAGTAATTACAGAATTTAAATATACGGACAAAACTGCCTTTCCAGAGAATTCCTGACTTTTTTTCTGTAAAAAGTTTACTTAGGTTCTTGTTTCATAACCTCTCATTCCCATGGATGTAAAAGGACACAGTGATTATGGTTCCTCTTTTGCATCAAAAAGCAAACATATGATGGGAAGTGTAAATAGTCATATGGGGGGATGGCTGCATATCATTACCATCTCATAATTACTTTTTCTTGCTAGATTTACAACACATTCCGCAAGACGAAAGAGTCTCCATGAGCCTTAAGGGAGATCTTTACTTTGCAAATGTTGAAGAAAATGACAGTCGAAGCGATTATTGTTGCTTTGCGGCATTTCCAAGGCTGCGAACAATTGTACAGAAAATGCCAATGACACTGAGGGTTACACGTAGTAAGTCTTTTACTTTTTTTTAACTCCCACTTGTCACAGAATAAAAATATCTGCCACGTGTTTAACATGATTCTCTCCGAAGAAAATGCATGTAAATGTGCTTACTTCTACATGATAAGCCTTACTCTGAGAGCTAGATCCAACTTTTGGGCTCTTGGGCTGCAAAAGTACTATTGTCCTTCTGTTCTACACTGTTATAAAATCTAATCATGATGCATTGGGAAATCAACTCTCTTCTCAGCCACTGAGTAGATAATCATTAGGCATTCCCATACTGCCTCCTTCCCCCTGGGGCTGGGTTTGCCTCGATTTGGCAGTCAGGCTTTGGAGAACAACATTAGGGAGCTACAGTTAGCATGATCAGGGAATAGTCCAGGTGTCCTATTGTGCAGTAAGTTTCCTGCTTGGCTGACTGAATATTAGAGAATGTCAAAGAGACCATAGCTTAGAATTCTTGATTCATACCTGACAAGTCTTTCTCTGAGCTCAGCTATGGAGAGCCAATGGTACCATCTGCCTTCGCTTCTATCAGTAATAATCATGTATACAGGCAGTCCCCGAGTTACGCAGATCCGACTTATGTCGGATCCGCACTTACAAACGGGGCTTTCTCGCCCCGGAGCTAGCAGGCAGCGGGACCACCCAGAGCGCAGCGGTCCCGCCACCTCGACCTCCGGGGCGAGAAAAGCTGCTCCGGGTGCCCCTGGGCTGCTGGGTACCGTCTCCAGCAGACCAGGGACACCTGGAGCAAAGCCGGGGAGGCGGAGAGGTCCCGCGCCTCTGAGGCTTTGCTCCCCATGTCCCTGGTCTGCTGGGGGGGGAGGGCGCAGCTAGGGCCCCCCCCCC